GTATACAAATGTGCTGTTTGGAATTATTAGACATCACTATTATTTAAAAATAAATGATAAAATGTGATCACTGTGCTAACAGCATGTGGCTGTGATCCAGAAGCCATTTTATTTGAGGGTACAGATTAAAATCTTCTTCGGTAGACACTGGCTCCCCCGCGACCCTGTATTGGATAAAGAGATTGGAAAATGGATGGATGGGTGGATTAAGATCATGTTACTGTTTGTGAAATCTCATTTGCTTTGACCTATTTACCTCAAATTTGTTGAGCTTATTTCTTTTCAATATTTTATTACGATTAAAATCCAGTTAAAAATAAACACCACCTGAGAGCTAACCGTCATACTAAAAAATCGAATCCACTTTATTCTGTTAAATAGGGATTAAAATGGGTTCTATGAGTACAAATGGTAGCCATAATACAATTACTGTATTAGAAGATTTAATCCCAAGACTGGCTAGAAAATCATTGATTTTCTCAATTAAATTGCCTTTGATTAATTCTTGAAATAACACTTAAATAAAGAGACATCCTCCATGTACAGTATAACTGCATTCTTGAGTGCTCGTCCATAATCTGGAAAATGTGATGGAATATACATGTAGGTTGAGCACTTTCAAAAAGTGACTGCATTTCTTTCTCATGTTAAATAGGTCTGACCCTGGTGTGTAAGATCCATGAAGTATCCCTGGATTTGGAAAATTGCCAATTTTAGTCCCATCAAATGGAAAAAGGACAAAACTGACCTACAAACAGTAATTACAGATCAATAAGTCTGACTTCTATTTAAAGTGAAGTTATGAAGACAATTACTAGAGCATCAATAATTCCTTTTCCGCATTACAGTACTCTGAGATTTTCTTAGATCATGACATGATGTTTTTCCATTCATACTGTACTACCTGTATAGTGAAGACCAAACTCACAATATTTATCTTTATCTAGGATGGGGCCTTCCAAAGTCCCCAAAATTTACATAATTATTTCAACACTGAGTCTAATTATTCCTTTAACTGAGTTAATGGAAATATAGCTGAATTTACTTTTTCACATTCCCTGTTCCTTACACATTGTTTGTTTAATTCAAACATCCTTTTGTTTCAAGAGACACAGAATTAGGTGCAATAAACCCGTTTGGATATTTACATAAAGACTGGTTTTGATTCAAGGAGGTTATCATGGTTAGACTAGGAAATAACTTTTGTTCTCAGCACTACGTTGTTGTAAAGTTAGTAAACTAGTTAATTTTGCGCATGATACCAAATTAGGAGGCTGTGCAAAAACGGCAGAACTGGCAAATTAGATTTAAAAAATAGATGAAAATCAAGACTGAAACACCTGGCAGATGATGGGTAATATATGCAGCTACAGGGTTTTGTATTCAGTTAGAATAAAATATACTTATGAAAAACACTGAGTTGTTTAACACATTTCCATTTTCTAGACAATGCGGGGAAGCTTTAAAAAAGGCAAACGATGTGTTAGGATATAGTCAATCAAGATATAGTACGCCAAGTTAAAATTGTGTAATGCCCTAGTAAGGCTTCATTTAGGATATTGTGTGCAATTGTGGTGATCATGTTATGGAAAAGATATTGTATTTCTGTTCTGTAATCAGTGCAAAGAAGAGCAGCCGGATATATTTGAAGGATCCACACCTTTGTGTTAGTATTAATAATGTGAAGACTACAAAGGGACTTGCACAAGTATTCAAAATCCCCGAAGGCATTTGACAATGCCAAAACAGGCTGAAACACTAACCAGAGGACTCAAGTGAAAATCACATGGAAGTGCACGTGGAATGTGCAACAAGTTGCAAAGCCCTGTGGTTGAAGCCAATGCCCTGACTTTTCAAAAAACAAGTGGATAAGATCTTTGGATCAATTACTGTAGCTACTATCAAACAGGCTACTGCACAGTATATGAGCTAAATGGCCTTCTCTAGTTTGCAGTTCTTTTGTAGGAATAGGTAAGCACACCTACAGAAGTAATACAGGGGGAACATAAAATCAATGGTAGTCATTTTTTTCAACACAACTGTCAGGATTGAATGAATATACAGTACAGTGTTACAGTATATCAATGTACAGTATATACAGTACAATATACAGTACATTGATACAGTGTATCAATGCTAACCTGAAAGCCAGAGAACTGAAGCAAGAGGGTGCAAGTAGTTTGGATTCTACATATATTAATCAACAACTGAGCTTCAATGAGGGTAAGAGGAGTGGTTTTCAAACTTTTTGAGTGATTAAAAACATTGATATGTAATTATTTGAGAAATTAATAACTTTTTTGGCAAACGTCTTTCTCCTGATTTCTGGTGTTCATATATTCAAAATCAAAAGCTTATATATTCATATAATCAAAATCTGCAATCAGGAGCATTTTTTCCTTGTAATCCCTTCTCTACGGTGCATGACTCGCTCTCTTCCAGACTCACAGTCAAAATGTCATTCCTGTTTGAGGAGCTGTGACACTCTGGGCCTGTGTTGTCTCTAACAACGCCTCTCCTTGATTTAAAGGAGGAAACACTCCACGCTTGAAAAGGAAAGGCCACAGTGAAGGTAACCTTGTCTCCTGAATTGGAACGTTATATTTCATGAGTTGGAAAAAGTTGGAAACAAATGGCGCTTAATGTAGGAGCTGAGAATGTGAGCCCTTCGCCGTGGATAAGCAGAATACTGACAAAGACCTGAAATCGCTGAAAGCACATGAGAGGGTAAGGGACAGGTAATTGTGCAAGACACATTCTGTTGTGTCAAAAGAACACTCCTGCTGTTATTGTGCTGTGGGAATACCTGTACAGATGGCACAGATATCATTACTGGAAAAAACTCCAAAACTACTGGTGAAAAAAAACAACTTAGATTACCAGCCAAGATTCACAAAGTAGCATCAGATTTTTGTTTCACACACTTGATCAACAGCAGGGAAGGCTCAGCATCCAAAATGAAATTGATCATCAGCTAAATGATCTTGTCAGTGGTACACCAAGGATCTAGCCTACTGAAAGTGTTTCCAATCAGCATATGATTATTCTCAATTCTGTGCGAAGGAGAAACCAGCATTTTGCTTCGGTGTTGGAGTGATGTTGGGTCAGCCTGATGTTTTAACACAGTTGATCCTCGGTCAATAAATCACCTTCATAAACAGACTCACACTTACCTAATCTGTCTCTTTTTAAAGTATACAGTACCAACACTGACAGTAAAACTACAGCAAGAGAGTGATGTAGTGAAAGTAAAGTTACTTATCTGTACATTGAATAAAATATCCAAGAAAGCTCCTAGTATAACTGAATAAAAAGCTGGATTGTGAAGACAAGTCTCTGCCCTTTTTGATACATTACTCCAACCATGTCATCTCACTGGGCTCAATAGGGTGTTTTCATATTATTTCATAAAACACTACTCAAATCAAAAAAGGATTTTAGCATGAAAATAGAATCACCCACAGAACTCCCAAAAGGGTGTAAATGATGTAAAAGATTGTTTTTAATCAAGGGCAATATACTGTATATATACTGTATAATGTATATTTTTATCCTATTGTGTTCTGAGCCTAAAACAACTTATGGCCCTTTAGCTGTGATTATGACTGAGGCAAAGGGAGAGATTGTCTTAAATAATTTAAACCAGCAGCCAGGAGCCATATCACCCTGCAACTCACAACTGGCAACCCACTGAAGCTAAGCAGGTGTGAGCCTGGTCAGTACCTGGATGGGAGACCTCCTGGGAAAAACTAAGGTTGCTGCTGGAAGAGGTGTTATTGGGGCCAGCAGGGGGCGCTCACCCTGCGGTCCATGTGGGTCCTAATGCCCCAGTATAGTGACAGGGACACTATACTGTAAACAGGTGCCATCCTCCAGATGAGATGTAAAACCAAGGTCCTGACTCTCCGTGGTCATTTCTCTCCCCAGGGTGCATCTCGAAAAGAGTATGGGTGTAACCCCGGTATCCTGGCCAAATTTCCCATTGGCCCTTACCAATCATGGCCTCCTAATAATCCCCATTACTCTGCTCTCCTTCCCACTGATATCTGATGTGTAGTGAGCATTCTGGTGCACTATGGCTGCTGTCACATCATCCAGGTGGATGCTGCACATTGGTGGTGGTGGAGGGGAGTCCCCATTACCTGTAAAGCGCTTTGAGTGGTGTTTAGAAAAGTGCTATATAAGTGTAAGCAATTATTAAACCAGGAAACATTTTAGTAAGGCAATATGGAGGATAAGTCTTGTTCAACACACAACATTATCAGATCAGGTGTTATCAAATACGGGGTTTTTTTTGTACAAGTCACAGCATTGAAGGATTGCTTGACATGAAAAATGACAGAAGAGGGAAAAGCAAATGACCTGTGAAGCAGCAGCCTTCAGAGGTCTGACTGATGGAGGGCAAACAAATAAACACTGCCTTAGCATCCTCCTGTCCATCTTGATAAGAATGATGATGGCCCATTGCATTACTATCACAGTCCTTTAAACAGCGGCTCAACATATAGCAACTGCATCCCCCTAAGTGAGAGCATTGTATTAATTTACAAATCCTCTTTACTAAGGCTTTACTGTTCACAGCATTTAGAAAAATTGAAATGAATAAGCAAGGTGCATGAAAATAAATGTTATAAAATAAAGACTTAAGCAATTTTGTATGAACTGAGACCACTTGTAAATGTAGTAGGCATCCACCATGCTAAAAGTTTGTACACGTTTTTGGCGCACAAACCAAAAACCCCAAAAAACAATGTAGCTTTTGGAAAAAAGGTAACATATTTTGGTTCTTGTTTCAGAGTGTTCAAGTGAAATGAAACCTTTAGAATTTAGAATGTAAACATCTTAAAATAAAAATATAAAAGACAAATAAAATTCATGTTAGGAGAAACATTTATGTAGAAAATCAATAAGACAATATTACCTAATTGTGCTGGGTTTTAGCACTTGCACTTAGCACATGAATTACTGTATGTGAATAAAATTCCAAGACAAATGGTCAATTAACTATACTGAGTTTTATTGGTGCATTATAAAAAAAATGAAATCAGAGCAAAAAATAAATAATTACCAAGGTCTTCCACCAGCAAAATGCTAGTATCAATCAATAAGTATTAAACCTAATGAAGTCATAGATTGCTTAAAATCTATACATTTTTATTTCTCATGTCATGTAATTTTCTCCCAGATTAATACACTTTATGGGTACAGGTTTTTCTCTCACGGGCACTGTTTAAAAAGAATTTGAAAAAAAAAGTTGCACAAAACAACGAGCCTGAGCTCTTTAAAGGTTATTTTTTTCCTCTCGGCCAAGAGCATCTGTTTCTGCACAGCATGGGAACACAAAGCAGCCATATGTAATAAACCTACAGTACACTCGATGACACAGTGGATCTTGAATGAAATAGAAGAAAAAATTCCCATACTTTACATTTAACACAGAGCACATCCTTCATGCCTCCTTACAATTCCAGAGATTATAGTGGAAAAAACATGTTTCTTATAATCTGTGTTTTAATAGATGTTCTTTTTTCTGTTCAGTTTCATTCATTTAACTGGCACAGTAAAGCAGATGCTTTGGATATCCAGTAATCGCTTTCCCGCATTGATGGCAACAGCACTGTCACAACAAAGTTTGTAGAGTGACCTAAAACAAAGGATATTTAAACCAGCTTTTATTATCATTTCCATCAATATTAGCCCTCAAAATTACAATCAGCATCAAAATAACAAGTAATAGTTTAAGAACCTGTTATAGTGTTTGCCTAAAGCAATAGGTCCTGTAAGTGACTACTCAGAGAAGACCAAATGATTTACACTGTTATACTGTACACAGAAGTAGTTCAAGTAGGTAGCTGTGTCAGCATCCATAGGCTGCTGAAACATTGTGTTTCCTTTCTTCTCTTTTCAGCATGGAATAAACCTTTTACTTTTTTCTGTATACAGAAGTAACTGTAAGGCACACTTCTGCAAGTGTAAGAGGGCTCATAATGTTTAATGAACCTTTCATGATGCCATAACTCTCCTAGACTCACAAAAATGTTCTGATCCTTTACCACAGGGGACCGTTTTTTTTTTTCCAGTCGTGAGTTTATGTTCATTTAGGCTCTGAAGCACAGATGCTGTGACAATGGGTAGAATCAGGCTGCATGCGGCACAATCATGACCTTTGACACGACGTAGTTCTGTTGGGATTGGGACTCTTACTAATACTTTACCTGTGGTTGAAAGCGTTCCCGCTCTGGCTGCAGTCTTGTAGAGTGGTGCCTGATACAGGGAAGGATCTGGCACATAGTTTTGCCGGGGCTCAAAATGAACCACGGGTAGCATGGGGTTCATCTGTCGTGGCAGTGCATCCTCAATGACCATTTTGTCATCGTCCCAGCGGCTGGCATCCATGAACATGCCATGGACCAAAACGCCATCCTCTGGGGATGGCAGCTAGAAGAAGAAAGCATAGAACAAGACAAGAGTCAATGGAGTTCAAATCCCACAATTGCCAAAGACTTCAGGCCTGGGGCTCGGACAGCCTTTGATGGGCCTTTCTGCTCTAATTCAACATCACACACAAACTATTTGTGCTCTCATGAAAACTCACAAAACCTGGAATACATAATGACTTGCATACAGGAAAGATCAGTCTTTATCTGTTTAATGTATTTTAATGTAACTGATAAAGTATTTAAATGGCTTTATGACACACACAGCAGGATCTTGATCTTCCAATTAGTGCAAATACAAAATATTTCCAATAACAAAACATTAACATTTTTTTTCCCTTTTTTACATGCTGGGATTACAATGATGAATTATGTACAGTATATTAAAAGATAAACTGTCAAAATAGTTAAACTGAAAGAGCTGCATACCAGCTGAGAAAATGCTTATCAGTTGCAACATTCACAGTCCTATGTACTGTAGCACCTTAATTAAGTGGAGATTCTCTGTGCAAGTAATGGTAACATTCAAAGTAAAGACACACACCTCTTTGTCCATTTCTAGCTCACTGCCAAACTGCAGTGTTTTCATTGCTTCTGTCACAGCTGCTTGATCACGGTATGCAGGGATGATGTTATAATGAAAGCTCAGCTCATCAATAGGAAGGTTGTAGGTACGAGCATGGTTTTGCAAAGCACCTAGAAATATATGAGAATCATACAGTAGCATCACATCAGACAACCTAGATTTGAATCATCTAAAGAATTTAATAAAGCTAGTAATCAACAGTTTACTTTTTAGTTAGGCTACATTTAACAGTTAACAGTTACAGTTAACTGTTAAAGTTACAGCTTTTTATTTAGGCTGTATTTGTTAGAAGATGCTCTTTGTACTCTACATATGTTACAAAAAACACAGAATATAGTCATATAATTATAAAACAGGAGGATCACATGAAAATCTTCTTAAGTAATTGTTAGATGATACTCAGTTCATATTCATACACTACCTGTCAGAAAACCTTGAGGGAAGAAAAATCCTGAAATCCAAAAAGACTTGGGCTGACCCTTTCTAATCCAGCTCTGCCAAAAGAAAAACACACAAGCTTTAGAGCATAAGAATAGCTGCACTAAGAAGAGACCATCAGGGCCATTTAGTAGTTAGCAGCTCATGGACGGATCTCATGCAGCTATTTCTTCAAGGAAGCCAGGGTATCACCTTCAACGACGTGGTTGGATATCTTCTTCCACATTCCCACCAGACTTTGGGTAAGAAGTGCTCTCATGCTGTTGGTTTTAATGTAGTTCCTCATAGTTTTCATTTGTGTCCTCTGGTTTGTGTTTATTTGTGTTTATTGCAAGGTCAAAGGTGCAAGCTTTTGAGGATTTGGAATGCTTGTAACAGGTCTACTCAATCTTCTCTGTTCAAGACTAATAAGATTCCGTTTCCTTCAGTCTATCAGTGTAGGACATTCTCTTGGGATACATCTGATTGCTCTTCTTTGGATTGATTTCAGAGAAGCAAATTTTTTTCATAATATGGTGACCAATATTGCACACAACAATACCTAAGGTTTGTGTTTTTAATCTATTGGTTATTTTTTGTTTTAAAGATGACCAATAGGAGGGTTATTATCACTCATAATAAATGATGGGTAGCTCTACAGAAGAATGGTTCCGTGTAATTTAGGCTAATAATACTCTACATTAATAATATGCATAAAAAGTGATATACTGCATCTGACATGAATTTCTTTTTTTAATGGCATGATTTGGATGAAGCAGTGAAGGTTTTCTTTAGCTTTCCTTCAACAGAATCAGTCATAAAATAAACTACCCAAAGTACTCTTGGAGTGATGAAAATAACTAGGAACATGGGTATTCTACACTTTAAATTTTCAGAGAACTACCTTTGATAATGTCCTGTAATGTATATGTAAACCATTTACAGTTCTAAAGTCTTTGTGTGATTGTTGCTCAGCCATATAAAACATAGCTTAAATCATCATAAGAACAAAGCAACATACTAAATCCATACACCTTTACTCTGAAGTGAAGAATAAATAAACAGGCTGAAGCCATCTGGTTTCTAGTTATTTGTAAAAGACCATAAATATCGTGCACTAGGCATAGCTGAAGGATGGGTTTGTTTTGTTCACCCCCTGGGTTGATCCAAATGGGAAAGAGCTATGATGCGTTTAATGTTTATGTCTTCCTGGAAGTAATCTCATAAACTAGTAGCTCCCACACTTGTGCATGTAAGACTGTCAGAATTTATAATTCAGTGCAGCTTGCACTTTGACTGAATCGCTGGATTAAAGTCAGGGATGCATATCAGAGACAGGGGCATTGAACTATACCACAAAACAAACCAAGGTAGTCGGCTGTCCTTGCTTTAGCTGTTATTGAAAGTATTTAGTGGTACAGACATACGTGTACATTATTTAAAAAATTATACAAAACAAGTCTCAGTAATTTACTCAAGTGTCACATTGGTTGACAATGGTTATGATTACGTAAGGTATGTTTATTTAACATACTGTGCAATTAAATGACATGCAAATCAAAACACTAAAGATAAAGAAATGCTAATTGTATTTTAATTTAGTTTTTCAGCTGAAAGCAAGTCTGCCAAATTAGTGAACCAACAGATAAATGTATTCCTGTTTTTAAATGTGTACAAGCATTATTGCAGTTGTTGTGCGGTGCTTATTTCTTTTACTGTTCTCTTCTTTTCACATCAAGAACAAAGTGACTAAGTAAAGGCATTTTGATTAAGGAATTACTTACATTAACATGATAGAACAGGAACTCTGCCCCTATCATTCTAATTCTGTGTTAATTTGGAATATTGTTATTAAAGTACTAACAATCTGCATGGATTACAAACAGAAAACTAATTTGTTCTTTTCCACACAGCCAGTAAGAAAGTAATGGTGTTACATTAGACTATAGATATACCTACAGTGCCTTGCGAAAGTATTCGGCCCCCTTGAACTTTTCAACCTTTTGCCACATTTCAGGCTTCAAACATAAAGATATACATTTTTTA